ATAAGCTGATAATTACCTGTTGATATTTAATTCCACAGAGTGGTAACACGTCTTTGCATGCACTGCTCTCACCTGTTCAGCCTGGCTGGATACCTATGATATTAACTACTCAATTTCATTTCATGTAATTATTAAAGCATTTTATTGCCTTCTCATAGCAATTTTGCCTTCATTTTGTGTCTTCTGGGCATGAAACATTCCTTCTTCGCTGATATTTTGAGTTAACTAGAGTAAGGAAATCAGTTTTGTTTAAATATCAAAAACTTGTTTCAGAATGAGCATAAAGAATACAAAATAAAACAAGATACCTAATTTATTTGGCCAGTGAAGTCCACCTGTGTTGTGCTACACTTATTTTCAGATGACCTCAAATCTAGCAATAGGTCTGCAAGAGTCCTGCAAAAAGAACAAACCAACTTGGGACACACGGCGTGTGAAAACACTTCTGAGAAATTATCACTTACTTTTTTTCTTCGATCTTTTACTAAAAAGTTTTCACCTGTTACGAGCACATAACTGTCAGTTTCAGCGAGTTGGACTTGGCTTTTAACAACATACCTCAAATTTTGTGTCTGCATTCGAACAAGACAGGGATGTTAGGTAGGGAGAAATAACTCCTATAAAACTACCTACCATAGCTGGAGAAAAGAGGTGTGCTTTTGAGGATACGTGAAGAGTTATGTGCCAGAAAAATTTCCAACTTTTTACACTACACTAACCGCTCTCGCAAAGGATCTCTTCCTACAAACCTTGTTTTGTTTATATTCTTAGCACACTATGTCTCTAACATAATATAGGTGCACGTAAACTTTGCACTCATGAAAAGCACTGGTTCGTGAGGTTTGCAAGTCCCAGAAAAGAACATCTCAGGCTGGAGCGCAGAGCTCGGGGCACCCCTGGGACAGCAGGAGGATTCATGTAGGGACGAACACTGCGCTGCAACCCCTCTGCAGCAGTGCTGTGACCTACCATCCAAATGCAGCTTGGCACTCCTTCAGGTGACACTTCTCACCTCTATCTACTTGTGGCAGACGAATAGCTATGAGGTCCTCATCAGCATCCTACCAGCTCTCAACCAGACCTTTGGGTGGTGATGAGAGAAGGCCTGAGGAGAGTCTGGGTGTTTTCTGTCAGAAGAGGGAAAAAGGAAAACACCCTTTGATTCAGAGAGTAGCTACTGCCCAACAAGCTAGTATTGAGTTTTCAGTTGTACAGATTTATATTGTAATCCCAAAGGTTCAGACAATATGACAACAGCATCTCTTTGCTCCAGCCCTCTGCAAACCCTGAACTGATTGCCTCGCAAAGCTCTGCAGGTTTTGCTGCCAGTTCTCTTCACTGTCATCTTGTGCTGCATAACCTTCTCAGTGAGAAGCTGCTGAACTGCTGTCATAGGTGTGGTCCACTGCAACTAATTAATTAAAGCAATATCATGTTAAACACTATACAAACTGGTTTCAGCTGTACGCATCTTAATGATATTGAATGAAGAAGTCAGTAATAAGTCCCGTGTTTTTTCCCCAGGTTTTAGATGTTGCATTCTCAACCTATTCCACCTACTTAGGGCTAAATGTGTTGGTATTACATTTCATTTGTTGCAGGCAATATGGAGTGTGTTTTAAAGTTTGCTCGGTTGCAAATCAAAAAGAAAAACTAATCCTCCAGGAAAAAAGTGTGAATGAAAGTATTTTCTTTAGTTACTACAAGAAGATTATATAAAGTGCACAGTTGTCTGTCCCTAAGTATCTAGGAAAGATTATAGATGGAGGAAACCCTTCAAGAATGGCCATGGTTTAAAATCTTTTCATCATAAATTCTCATTTGTTTGAAAAACTTAGAAATCCTTGTTTAGACATGAGATCTACTACATTACCTTCATGGATGTGTTCACATTCAGCTGGAACAAGGGAGAGACACTTTAACACAGCAGAGTTATTACTGGATATTTACAACTGAACAGTAAATTCAATGTAAAAGCCAGCATCATGATGCAGCCTAAAAATACTGAATCATTTATGATAAAAATAAGGAGTACATCACTGTTTCACAATGCCCTTATATGCAGAGTTTTGTGTTTTATACAGCATTTGGGTTTCTAATTGCTGGTCTCAAATCTGCTTTTAGTCAAACAGGGGTCGTATCAGCAGTAACTGTAACGAATACAATCAATGAATGTTGCAGGTCTTATACCCAGTGAAAGCTTAGAACACCTTATTTTCTGAAATGAGGTGCAGTTATCTTGCCATTGGTATTCCTGTGTGATCTATTTGATTATTTACCTGTGATTCTACACAAACACAGAGGCAGATTATTAAGCATGTGTATAATTGTGCCAAGCGTGATCTGAATCCTTTTGTACACTGCACTCCTGTGTTAGCAAGATGTACGCCACCCAACAGTGATACCTTGAAAGAAATGTAAGGAACATTCAGGAACAGTTGATGTAATCCTCACAATCCAATTACAATAAACATCCTTAATAAGTGACTATATTTCAGAAGAAATTATCTAAAGTTGCTAATTTGTTGTATGGAGTAAAGAGAAATTGTTTGAAGAGATTCATTAAACTTGTTTTGTTGTTCTTAATACCAGACACCTATAAAATGTATAAAAATTACTAAAGATGCTGCTTATCAGAAATGTTTTGTGAACAAAGACGTTATGAAGTGAACTTTGTAAGTGATCGAAGACAATGACTTAACTTTTCAAAAAGTTAACTAAAACCACCCAGGAGTTCCATTCACTAGAATCAATGTTGATTTATTCTCATCACTCATAGACGGTCAGAACAGGAAAAAATATTTCAACGGATCTAATTCATTACAAACCCAGTAATGGTTCATCTCCCATTGCTGTAAGTGGCATGCTGGCACCTACTGACCAAGGAAACCCTGTTTCTGCTGTTTCATCCATCAACAGATTATCAATGGCTGCATTTTTCCTCGAGGAAAGCAAACATATCACACACATGCAAAATACACTTGATGACATAGTTCATGCACTACTAAATCTATGAATTGTTATGCTGATAAAAAGCTTTCAAAAGACTGAACAACCGCTTATCCCTGGCTATGCCAACAATGGCCACCACTATGCCACCACCACAGTGCCACAAAAACCCCACAGGACGCGTTTCAGGCTCACGTGAGTAGCATGGGGGGAAAAAAAAAAAAAAGCAGCATGAAAGCCACAAAAGCCTTGGCAAGACAAAGCCATGTTTCACCCTCTGATCCCAAACGGGCGTCCCCTGTGCTGCCCCGGGCCTGGCCCACAGCTCTTGGCCTCCTCCTCGTGCTGCACAACTGCCGCCATTTTGCAGCCAGCACCGAGCCTCACACCTCAGGGTGCCCCAGCAATGCCCGCCCAGAGCCAGTATGCACCCACTGGGCAACCTGCTGCCTCAGCGTGGCTCCTTGTCAGCAGCCCAATAGCTGCCCCATCCCCAGCGGGGTGCACTGGGTGGCATGGTGGATGCTGTTCCCTCATGGGGCTGGGGCAACATGGTGGCCCTGAGCCTGCTGGCAGCACTTGCCTCCCTTCTGGGTTTCTCTCTCAGCTTCTTCTCTCGTTGCCTCTCCTGCCACCACCCCCTGGGCCTCAGTCACCCCTCAGTCCCACCACTGCAGTGGCCTTGCGGTGTTGCCTGTGCATGTGGCCCCACAGGGATGTCCCTCCTTCCTCCCACCGCCATGCCTTGGGGCCACAACCCCTCTCTGGGCACTGGAAGGGCCCCTCTCTGCCTTGGCTGTTTCCCCATCTGCTGGAATCATACTTTCCCTGGCCCTTTTCCGTTATTTCACGTTAACAGGAAGTTATTTTGGCTTCCTTCTTGTTCCTGTTAGCTGGGTGGAAAGCTGGTCTCGGGTCTCCCTGGCAGATTTACCCTCTCCTTCACCCCTGTACTCCTCCACCGCTTCACTCTCCCCATGTTTCTGCTGTCCCTACTTCTGCCATCCTGTGTGCGATGACAGACTTGTTTTCGCCGGTAATCCTGTGTGGCAGCATTCACCCTTGCAGAGGGTTAAGGAGGACCCTAAGTACATTTAATACTTCCTTAGCATCAAATTTAACTGCTATAGCATACCTGAGTGATGCATACTCACGCTTCTCATTTTCTTTTTCTCTGATCCCATTCGTCTTTTTCTTTCTCAGTAGTCAAATCCCAAGGGCCAGGTACCACGTTGGCAGCAAAGTCTAGATTTTAAGACCTGTTTACCACGCGAAGCAGCGGTGCCACTGCTGAGCAGCCATCCTGCGCAGACTTTCCACGCTTTGGTTCTGGTGGCTCGCTGCTCTGCTCCAGCAGCTCCCACCACCTCCATGCTGCGCCCCGGACGAGAAATGAGCATCCACCTCCAACTCTGCTGCACCTATGCCAGCCGCCCTCTGCGCTGCCTGTAGGCAGCCGCTGCACCCCTGCTTCTATGTACATACCTGCCTCCACGCACGGGGCGAGGACCTTTTGTGCTCCTCACTGCCAATGCTCTTGAGATCAGAGCCTAGGATACTGAAATTAAAGACTTTTCTTTTTTTTTTTTTTTTAAACAATCAGCTCCTTGTTACCAAAGGGCTTTTCTTGATGAGTAACTGCTGCTTCTCCACAATTTCCTTTCGCTGGCATGAGCTAAACGAGTACCTACTTCCAGCAACATGACTCTGTCCTCTGCAGTGCCTGGTACACTCTCTACCCAAAGGCACCCACAAACCATGGAGAAATTTTCTGTTGAAAAAAATAATTTTGTTATTTTAAATCCAGAATGGCTACATGAAGAGGTCACACTATCTTTAATGGGACTTTTCCCAGAAGCCACAGTAGCAATTCATGGAAAAATATATTTAAAGACCAGAGCCACAAAGCTCACAACAAACATCTTTGAGACTCTTCAAGTTAGTCTTACAAAAAGTATTCACTTAACTATCATATTAGTACACCTCCAGGAACCACTTTCCCTTTCACTACAGATGTTTAACAGAAGGAGTAAGAATCAGCACAACAGTAATTAAATGATTCCATTTATTTTTTCATTAATACAGTATTTCCTTCCCCACAGAGGAATAAAAGGAATCACTCGTAAGATTTATTGAAGAGCTATCAAAATATGCTGCTATTGAATTTGTTGCTTCTTTTGGAAGACAATCTGCTTCAGTATTGTTCAGAAACATCACTGCTGCCTACAGAATAATGAACCTTTTTCCCCCAACCTAAATATCCATAATGGATCCAAGGCACATAACATTTCATTAATTTTATGAACCAGTTTTAACCCAGTACTGAGAACAGAAATACACCACATCAAAAGGTATAAGAATTATTACTTGAAGAGAAAGTTTATTAACGATAAGGGCAGACTAAGCTATTGCCAGAAGGTGAATTATTCTACTGGTGAAGATTAGAGTTTTGATTTCCTCTGAAAGAAGCTGACAATAGCATTTATACATTCATCAGATAACCACCTCTCCGTCAGGACTTCACACTCTTTACTGTTGACTTCATGGAGCTTCTCCTTTTCCACACTTCGTAACAGTTGCTTTGACACTGCCAAGGACTGGAGGAGAAAGACAGGAACATTAGGAAGTTATGTTTTCTATACCTTAATTTAATGTTTCAGAAAATAGCACAATAAACACACTGGAATTCCAAAAGGGTTGTACTAACATTGTACTTTTTAGCTTTTAGTCAACCTTTTTGCTGCAAGTAATTATGGCATTTAATTACTAAGACTGCTAATAAGGTGGATGAGGTTCATGGGAAGCGAAACAGCAGTCCACTAAGTGCTCATAATCAGAGTAGATGGGTGTAAGAAGTGAAACCTGTTCAACTGTCTGCAGTGCCAAACGCAACCTATGTTATCAGCAGTTGGCAGGAGTGTCTCCTCTTCTCCGATGTGACCTCAATACCATTGTGACTCAAGTAGTTTTGCAAAACCTAAATCAGTGAGCAGGATGAATGAATTCAGCAAAAAGTAAAGCCACCCAGCTTCATCTTGAGCACCCGCAGTGCACACAGTACAATTAATATTGTACAACCAGTGGTAAGGCTCTTAAACCTAAACTATTGCCAAAAAGAAATTCTAAGAGAATCCACCCAAGGCATGCACACAGAGACTACAAGTGGATTAATTAGTTTTTAAGGCTTTTCAGCCATTGAATCTCTGTACGGTGCACTGTCTTAGATTCATCCAGGGTAGAAGAAAAGTTTGTTTCACCGCAGTAGAGGGAGAGGGACAAATCTGTGCTTGAAGGAAAATATACTGAGCCTTGCTATTTCAACTAAGGATGAAGTGAAACCAAGTAACAGGATAGGTTTGGCAGGAGGACTGGGAATGCTACAGGCTTACAAAGCGGAGATAAATTTAAAATACTGACATTTTTGGGGAGGCTTGCATAAGCTTCTAATCTTGCCCAAACTTCCTTCTGAAAAGTCCTGTCGGGGAAGACTTCAGTCACAAGTCCCTGGGCACAGGCTTCTGCTGCAGTCAGCTTTTTATTGAAAAGCAAAATCTCATTTGCCTATATAAAGAAAAGTAGAAAGCGTGATTCAACGAGACACAAGACTTGAGTAATCTAACAGGAGACGTACAAGCTTCCAAGTCACATTTATTTTACTTTCTTGCTCCTTAATGTCTGCCCTCTGAAAGGAACACAGAATAGATGAGGCTGGAAGGGACCTCCAGAGACTGTCTAGTTCAAATCCCCTGCTCAAGCAGGGTCAGCTGGAGCAGGCTGCCCAGGACTGTGTCCTGTTCGGTTTTGAGTATGTCCAAGGACGAAGACTTCACAGCATCTCTGCACAACCTGTTCCCATGTTTCACCACCCTCACTATAAAATTATTTTTTGCATTCAGATGGAATTTTCTGTGTTTCAATTTGTATCCCTTTCCTCTTGTCCTGTCACTGGGCAGCACTGACAAGAATCTGTCTCTATCTTCTTTACACCCTCCCATCAGGTATTTATAAACATTGGTAAGATTCTCCCAAGCCTTCCCTGCTCCAGGAAATACAGTCCCAGCTCTCTCGGCCTCTTCTCACATGTAATATGCTCCAGTGCCTTAATCATCTTCGCAGCTCTCTGCTGGTCCTGTTCCAGTATGTCCATGTCTCTCTTGTAGCTGGAGCCCAGACCCAAAACACAGCACTCCAGCTGTGGTCTCACCAGTGTTGAGCAGAAGTGAAGAGTCACCTCCCTCAACCTGCTGGCAACACTCCATCTAACGCAACCCAGGATACCAGTGGCCTTCTTTGCTGCAAGGGTGCATTGCTGGCTCACGGGCAGCTTGCTGTCCACCAGGACACACAGGTCATTCTCTGCAAAGCTGTTTTCTAGCCAGTAAGCCCCCAGCACGCACTGCTGTGTACAGGACTTAGCCTTTTCCTTTGCCAAAGTCTATGAGATTCTCCATTTATCCAGACTGTCCAGGTCCCTTGGAATGGCAACGCATCTGGGTATCAATCGTTCCTCTCAGTTTTGTGTCATCTACTGAAGGTATACTCAGTCCCATCATCCAGACCATAATGAAGAGGTCAGGTAAGTATTAGACCCAGTACCAACCCCTGGGGTACACCACTAGTGACTGGTCTCCAGCTCCTATTGTTCACCAAGAGTCTACATGTCTTTGTGAGCAGAGCTCCAAGGTTGTCACTTGAAATTACCTCATCATAAATGTGTGTGTTCACTTCCTGCAGTGACTCCAAGATTTCTAAAACATATACTGGTAGGTTATCTCACTGAAGAGACTACCCTTGATTCTCGGATGTTCATGAAGCACTGGCTCTACTCCTTATAGATTTAAACTCTGCTCAAAAAAAATGCGCTATATTAATGCAGTGTTTGAAACTATCCATTTTTTTCTGTGGGATATCAAGAGAAGCAGGAAGGGAATTACCCTGTTCTAAGAAAAGAAAATTTAGATTCTGCTGTCTTTTTTTTTCTTCCTATTTTTTTAATTACTATTATTTAATTTCCTTATTTCTACAGCAGACAGAAAATAAGAGTCTGGACAGAAGACCAATATATATTAGAACAAAATAGATAATCTAAAAAGTCTGGAAGTAAATATACAAATGGATTGCTTCACACTCACATTTGGAAGAATCGTTGAATACAAGTTTCCCACAGGGCTGGCAGAAACAACTGTAACACTTGCTCCCCTGCCTGATAAAAGCAGCCTACCAAGACATTTCTTCAGAGTGCTCTTATTTTCTTTTTTTAATCCTTCTTCACATCATTCCCTCCCATTGCTGGAAGAAAGATACCACCTTTTGCCATACAGAAATCATCTCAAGAATGTGGAGGAAGGCAAGAGAAAAAAAACAACCCTTCACTGGTATCACGGTATGGCTTTACAAGTGGTCAATACTCTGTTACGGTGCCTGTGCTGACACTGTCATTACATTTCTTGATCTTTGTTTCAAAAGATGCAAACAGGAGCTTTCTTTGAGGGCTCTTGCTGTGACTCCGCTTGCTCCACTGTTGGAGGTACCAACACATAAAGGTCACATGGTCCCACATACAGTGGGGACATTCTTACCTTAGCTAAGCCCATGATTTTTGGAAATAGGTAAGAGGAACATCCTTCTGGGCTCTGTCCAAGTTGACTAAATGGGCTGTGAAATGTAGCCTGGAGAAAAAAAAAACAAACCAAACCAAACCAAAAAAAGAACAAAACAAAGCAAATCTTACAACAGAGCACAAGACTAAAGTACTAGGACTTAATTTTCTTTTTAAGGCTTTTACTGTGACAGAGTTGACCGGAAATACATTTGAACTGTTACCGTAATATTCTTTAAATACCATCCGGTAACACTGCTTCATCCTCTCAATGCACCCAAGAGCTGACTTTGTCTGTATAATTCAATTTCCTTATCACAACAACCCTGTTGAAGTTACCTTATTTGAATACAGTGCTTAAAGAAACTAATTTGCATGTGCAAAATCTTTACAGAATAGATGTTCACACACATCTGCGCTAAAAGTTATTAAATACATAGCCCAAATAACTTAAGAGGCAAAGAGCAATTTGCTTTTTGAAGGCACACTAAGTTTATTCTGCTCCTGAAAAATTCAAGTCATTGGATCTTATTTTCTCAAATTTTATGCAAATTTAAAAAGAACCTGTGGCAGAAATGCATCATGGGATCATACAAAACAATACCCTAATAGCAAGTTAGAACTGAAGTGCAGAATTTTATGTTTTGACAACTTGCATCAACTTTAAGCAAGGAAGACAAAACGATTGCCTTTATTACCATTTAAAAACATGAACTGATACACAAAGAACGCACAAGTTGCCAATGCAGCTTTCACTGTAACAGAAGGTAATCACCTCTTACTGTACAGCCATCTGCAGTACAGTAAGACAGATCAATAGACTTCCTAGGAAGAAAGTCACAATTACATCATTGTAAGAAAAGATTAGACAACATCTGCCAGGATACAGGCTAGTGCAATTGGCCCTGCTTTAGCAAGGGGAGATGAACTACACCAGGGGTACAAACTGGTGCCCCAAGAACCGGAGGAAAATCCCGTGCAGAAGGCAATGTTAACTGTCCACTCAAAATGCTGATCTGTTGTCAGACTGGGCTGCACAGTGTCCTGTAAATGTGGTTGGTAATGATCTGCTCTGGGAGTATCTGGCTGAGAATATGGGAGGGGCACAAGAGGGAGAACCCAACAATTTTCTAGTAAAAGAAAAGATCTAGGGACTGGAATAGACTGCATAAATCATGCACATTATACAAGCGTATATCAGGAGTGACATGGTCCTAGCTGATCCTGTTATGGGGCAAGCAAAAGGAGTTCATCCCTTGCAGCTCAATTTTCCCTAAGTGGCATAGTGACAAACCCATTCCATCAGGGACTTTGAGGAAAAATGTGACACAGTGCTGAGGCAGGAATCAACGTACTACCCATCATAAACACTTCTGTGTTCAATTTTGGGCGCCACAGTGTAAGAAGGACACTGAGGTGCTGGATCGTGTCCAGAGAAGAGCAACAAAGCTGGTGAAGGGTCTTGAGAATAAGTCTTATAAGGAGCAGCTGAGGGACTTGGGGTTGTTTAGTCTGAAGAAAAGGAGGCTGAGGGGAGACCTTATTGCTCTCTACAACTACCTGAAAGGAGGTAGGTCTCTTCTCACAAGTTAAAACCCATAGGACAGGAGGAAATGGTGTCAAGTTGTGCCAGGGGAGGTTTAGGTTAGACGTTTGGAAAAACTTCTACACTGAAAGGGTTATCAGAGACCGGAACAGGCTGCCTAGGGAAGTGGTTGAATCACCATCCTTGGATATATTTAAAAGCCATCTAGATATGGTGCTCAGGGACATGGTTTAGAAGTGGGCCTGGTAGAGTTAGGTAACAGTTGGACTTGATAATCTTAAGTGTCTTTTCCAGCAATAACGATTCTATGATTCTGCAAGCAAGAGACTGCCTAAAATTAATTAAGACCTTGGGCTAAGTTCTGTATTTGTTTAATAACCTTATACAAATGAACAGTACAGAATATAAAAAATAAGCCATAAAATAGGATTCTGTGCTATGCCTTGATATAGCTTTTGGTTATGTATTTGGCAAGTTACCTTAAAAAGAAACTTAAGCTGAATAAACCAAAGCTCTTTCAAAGTTACTTTGGAACTCAGATTAGATAAAATGCCAGTTACTGCACTTCCATTCCATAATAATCTTTTGCTCCCCTTCCCACACCTGAAAGGGGCCTTACAACCATTATTTCACATCAGCTACTCTTTACTTTACCCACTGATACAGTAAAGAGTTTCTAAACTGGAGTTGGTAACTTGATAACCATAACTAGAGTAGGGAAATTCCACGCACGTTAACCACTGGCTGATGCACCCCTGTGCTGGTAATTAATATAGGTGTTCCTTGACATGATATAAGAAGCCTTTACATCTGTGTGTACTTTTCTGTCAGATTAACCCAAACCAAATAATATTTCCTACAGAAAGAGGCTTAAAGACTGCCTTGGGATCAGCTACGTAATGTACTTACCCTGTCAGAAGCATAGACAATGTCACACAATCCAAGGACTGTTACACAGATTCCAACAGCTGGACCATTTACCACTGCAATCAGTGGTTTGGGAAAATCAATAAAATGACCCACAAACTCTCTAGAGAGAAGGAAAGACAGAATGTAAGAGACACATCCTAGTCTTTTTCATCAAATACAAACACCTTTCAAAACAGGTGATTAGATACTGCATAACAAAAAACTATGCGCAAGATTCTACACAGCATATGTTTTTGTCCCTTTCCCAAATGATTTCTGACAAAGAAAGAAAGAAGTATTTGAAATACCTGCATTTCCTGACCCACTAAGAATCAAACATGTACATGTCAGCACAGCTTTCCTAGTTCCTACAATCAAGTGATGAAAGTGCTGTCCTCTTAAGCTACAGTTACTGAATACAGCCCACTAACAAGAACAGTCTTTCGCCCTGTCTATCTTCCTATACGTCCATCCCAAATCCACCCATGGGATTTCCATTCCCTTCGCAGATGCTGTTCTGCAGTGAAGCCCCAGCAGGCACCAAAATTGTGACGCTACCACAATACAGAATTCCCAAGTGCTGCTCTGCCCGAGTTTGAGAAACAGCGCTTTGTTTCATTTGACAGCTACTACTCCATCCAAGAAGTGCAAAGTACATTCTCAAAAAATAGTATTTTTCAAAAGCCAGCAGTGTTGTAAGAACTCCACTTCTCTGGCATCTCTGTACATCAGTCGTAAGAAAGCACTGTGCTTGTGTAATAGTAACAGCGTAGCAAATACAGTCATCTCAGAGAGCAAGCTGAAAGACCATAAAGTACACGTGAAACTATGCATCGTGTTGAACACCCTACAAAACACTGCAGGCTGCAACGCTTGCCAGATACCACTCAATAACATCTTTGCAACAGATTTGGACTGCAGGATTATCACTTTGTAGGAGCAACTGTGATCCACAGGCAGCTTGCCTAAGTAAAAGCTGCAAAACTGAGTACTTTAATTGCAGTTCGTCTTTAAAATATAAATCAAAAACATTGTTTGCTTTTCCACCTATTTTAGATTTTCCATCAGTTGCAAGTGCTTGAGGGAGAAATACAACTTGCAAGCATCCCTCAGATGTAATCATCACACACAGAAGTAAAAGAGAAGACAAAATCTGCTTCAATAGGGATGAAAGAAACCTGTTTGTCCCCAAAAAAACATTTCAGCCACTGTGTCAGATGACACACGTGATCTCCTTAGCATAGAAAATAAATTAGTTTAACAGGTAGATTCAGACTCAAAGATGGAACCAAGATCTCAGAATTCCTGGGCAATTTTGAACAAGTTCATCACACCTCATCTCTATTCAAAGTAGTCTGACAGTGAGGTATTTTGGCATGTCCTGCTAGTGTAGACAATGTTGGACAGCAAAAATCCCACAAATTTTTCATTGCAGCTTACAAACTATACAGTCAAAATAATGTTTTTGTCATTTTATTTGCATGTACTTTGGGGACTAAAAACCAGAATTGAGTCTTTAGCATCACTGTACTTTAAAAGATTTATAATACTCATCTTATTTCCTCATTTATTTCACACAATTAATACTACTTCTCCCACACGATCTCTGTGTTTATGCACATGGTGAGGCCTTAGACATGGTGATTTCAATGGAGGTATTGTAGCATAAATGGGCACCTGCTGTCATGTTTTCTAACAATGCCTGCAAATTTTATTTTACCTATCACAGTAACTTATGGATATCTGAAACCAAGATGTCCTACTTGAGTAATACTGCTCCATCTTTTGCCATCTTCTCCATTTCCCCAGGTTGGATATTAGCAAAATTATTCAGATCATTTCCACTACTATAGTAGTCTCCATTTCCTGCAGAGAACACATATGAATAAATGCACCAATGGCTTCTGAGTAGGTAAGAAAAGAGAAGCTTCCGTTTATTACATTTACAAAAAAATTTCATTCTAAGTGTCTAACTTTATTAAGTAATTAGAGGGACTGTCTCAACCTTACCTTAAAGGACATCTATGGTTTAAAAATAATTTTTGACTGACAATTCACTGAAAAACAATGGGCAAAAAGCCAAAGAATATTAAATTGGAAAGACCTGAGGGGGAAAAAAAAAAATTCTTTTTTCCATAACAGTGTCAGATGGAAAAAAAAATAAAATTTCCTTCCCTCCATACTTGCTCACGGTTGGTTTTTTTTTTTTTTTCCTATCAATTCACAATCATTCACACAGTAAGATGGGAGAAACTTTTTTTTAAACAGGAAAATGGACATGTAAGTTTATGCATCTCTCTTCAAACTGATGAAGGAATCAAAAGTAGACAGAATAGCCTATTTAATGTGGGGTAGAAGTTTCACATTTTTTTATGACCAATTAAGGAAAAGGTACAGCATTCTAAGGATAAGACCGACAGCACTGCATTGAAATCACTGTACTGAAATACATATTCTTCAATAAGAAGCAAACAACCTGTTAGTGAACGTGTAAGTCAGTTTGAGGCACCATCAAAAAAGCAAGGAGTATTTAAAAGCTAGACTGCATGATTTAATTGCCTAAATCATCCTGTGTTCCATGAGGACATTCACAGGATGAGACCTTTCACTGGTTAGCACATCCATTATTTTATGCTGCATTGCTCTTCCTAACTATGTAAAATGCAACAGAAAGGTTTGTGCAGGGGTGTTTGCCATTTACACCTAACTGTACACGTGTTAGACATTCCAGCGTGTGAATTACCCTTCTCATTTTGCAAGGGCTGTGCCGAGTCACTGCTACTGAAAGAAAGCTCAGCACCCTGGGAATACAAGGTGCTGGTAAAGAAGAAAGTGGAGAAGAATACGTATTACCTCAGAAGCAACGAGTAAATGGGCTTAAGCCCACATTCACTTTGCATCCACACTACTTAGCTGCCAGCCAAAGCTCAAGCTTTGGCTAACTTCCTAAACGCACAACTATCTGCGACAAGGATGGACCAGACGGGCAGCGCCTGCCCTCGGCCATTCTCTCCCTTCTGCCTGCTTTTGCCACTGTATCGCTCAGCCAGCGTCAGAGATGGACCAAACGGTCCTCTAGAGGATCCAAATGATGTGTCTCCAGAGCAGCTAGACTTTAAAGGCAGCATGAGTTTGGGCTGCCCTTTCACATTGTCACTGCAGTCATCCAGCTGCACACATCTGGTGACTGGGATGTACACAGCTGGGCCAGGTTGCAGCTTGCCTGGCAAATCCTTTCCTATGGCAGCCCCAGAAAAAAAAAAAAAACAAAAACAATATAAAGCATCACTTTTTTCTGATGATCGTAGGTAAACATGCAGTGTAAACATTCTATTGGCCATGCCAGTGCAGGATTTGAGGCCCTGTTTTCAGTAGGTTCTAGTGTATCACAGCAGCAGAGAAAATTGACTAACCCCATACCAATGAACTTCAAAAGCAGTAGCGAAGATGATGTGGTGCAGATATATCAGCTACTTAAAAATCATAAAGGTCTTAAGAGTATTCCATGTCTATCTTCTCATGTCAGAAAGATGTTTTGATGTAACAGCAAGCTTGCTAAAGAATTTGAATAACCACCTTGAATGAATTTTGCCAAAACACTTCGGAAAAATCTTTGGTCTATACTAGAAGAAAGAATTTCATCCCTTACACAATTCTGTCTAAGTCTAAATACGGGTAGATAGTTCATGTCAGTACTGTACTTTGGCATAATATAAAATAAATCCAAGAGCGGCATATGAAGTGAGTTACCAGTAATAACTGCTATTGTAGAATCGTCTTTTCCAGCTTCTTCAAGTGCTTTGATAATTTCTCTGTACATCTGCATCAGAAGAAAATCAACAAAATACAAATGTGATGCTGCAAGACATCATAAAAAGGAGATTCATACTGACAACAGGGAACTTGAGAGATCCTATGGATCCATAAGGAACTATGATCCTTTTAAGTATGAAAAAAATTTGCATCCACAAAAACTTAAGTATTACATGTGAGGCACTTCTGACCACGAAGACACACGGTTGCAATGCTCAAGACTTCCGATGCAAATCTAAAGGACAAAATAAGGTTCTTTGGAAAACAGACATTAACTGAAAACAGCTAGTTTTAAAATGTGAGAAGTAGTTAAGGTGGGTAAAATAATATATTAAAGAATTTGCAGCAATGGGGTGAAGTCCCTGTTCTGGTAGCTTTGCAGCTGTGAAACAGGATGATCATGTTTCCAACAGGATGGACTTCCTCATGAAGACAGCTATGGGAACCAGAAGACTATCTAGACATACGCATGACAGTGCTGAGCCAAAGTAGGCTGCACACACTTTGTTATACATAAGGCTACAGGCAAACCTTGGATCCACAAAACAGGCTAGTCTTCCTGCAGTTTGCCATTTTAGTTTAGTGCAGACTGTAATCCTATAAGTTGGAAAAAAAACAAAACCAAAAAGACACAGAAAAGCCAAATCTATTAAATTTTAACTGAATGGTTTAATTTTGTACTGGATATTTATTCCTTAGGTTGTCATCTGAGTCAAGACACTAAGCTCTCATAAAATTCAGATCGTCATCCTGCAGTCAGTTCTCCTAAACTCGTAGTAATGACTCTTTAAAAACTTAAGTAGCTTACCCAGGAAAGGAAAAAATCATTAATCTTCCCAAGTTAATTTCTTTACCTTATGGTTGATGGCATTTTTCTTTTCAGGTCGGTTAAACATTATTTTTGTGATATTGTTTTTGGTGGTAACCAGTATTGTTTCATAGCCATCATGTCTGCCCTCTTCTGGAGAAGCATCTTTCTTTTGGCCAGCAGATTCTGCAGAGACCAAACTTGAGACAAGCTCAGCATATTTCTGCCTGGCATTATCCTATAATGAAGGAAAAGGAAAAAAAAGAAAAAAATCACACATGATTATCCAAGGCTGAAATGGCAATCAGTTTGTTATGCTAGTCATAAAATGTGTACCTGGGGGGAAAGAGGATAGGGGACTGCGCTTCAGGACAAAAGAAAAAAAAAAATCAATTAGAAAGTATTCTAGTTCGGAAGAGAACACACTGTATTTAAACACTGCAGAGCATGCTTAAAGTCATCTGGAAAGCAGCAGCAATGGATCCACAAAATAAAAGTGCACAGATGTTCAAATGATGACATTTATTTTGTTGGAGAAGTGTCCCCATCCATGCCAAAGACTACCAGAGAGACCTCTGCCATATACCCAGCATTTACACATTTCTATGGACCCTTTGTTTCTGCTTTCCAGTTGGACATTTCTCCAACGAAATAAAAAAAATTATTTTAGAACACGTGTTGCTGAAAATAAGAGTGCTGAAGTGGGTCTATGGCATTTTAAAATTGCTTGAAGACACTAGTTTTCATTTAGCACAAACATGGCATGTGAAAGCCTAAAGAATCCCGCCTCCCTGTGATTTAAAAGAATTGTAAGTTCTTGGTTATTACAACCCATTTTCTTGAAAGGATAATATACTTTGAACAATTCTATAATCCATAATCTGTAGCACATGAAATTGTCAATTCCCTCTCCACTATAACTTCAAGAGCAGATTCTTCTGCTGAAGTGTTTCTTGGCTATTCCTAAAAGCTGCAGAGCCATCTAAAAAAAGAAAAACCACCAAACAAAAAACCAAAACACACCCTGAAAAGCCCAAAGCAGCACAAGAATGTTATGTCTGTGGAATTATTTCCTTTAAAAGAAAACATGCAAAAAAACCCCTATGTATTAAGTAATATCTTTGACTGACCTCAGAAACTACTCCTGCAGGCCTAATGCAGCAGTGACACAGCTGGTTTGTAAAGCTTATGCTTCCTTCATTTAACAGGAGCTGAAGAAACTGTGGTAGCTATATGCAATGTCCGACTTATTACAGTCCGCATGAAAAAAGAACGTTTATGTATCTGAAGTAAAGACCTCTCTAAAGGTTACAAAAGGTATTAAAGATGTCAGGATATACTGAGAAAGAATGAGAGGGTCTCAATAGATTACTTTTTTTAGTCTTTTAGTCAGTGGCATAAGAGACTGACTTTTTAAAATGACAAAGTTATCAATACGCTGGATTCACAAACTTGATCTTTGTTGGAAGAACTGAGAAACTCAATCCATCTTTCTTAAAGGGAAGAACAGAACAGTGTGAAAAACACTATTTTTATTGAAAGTCAACAAATATGTAAGATATCTTACACTGGTACAAGCTGGTGGTAATGATGTAGAAATAGGCTTACAAAGTTAAAAAAAAAAACCAAACAACTCCAAACACTGAAGCAGTGAAATGACTGTAGAATACAGTGCAAAACAGCTTGGTGTCAGAAGCAGTCACTCAACTAGCATGTAATATGTTTAGACATCAGCCATTCACTTACAGACACAGCATTTCAAGGTAAAGTATTTAAGTGAAATTATAAGCATTGTCACCTGAGACAAAGTGCCAAGAGAATTCCAAGCATCCCACTTGGCTTTCTTGACGAAGTCCAGCATACCTGGTTTTGGAGAATTGCAGGGACCTTCAGTAGCCTAAAAAGAGAGTGAAACAAAACTTCTTTAAACCTTTGATTAATGTTCATATGCCTCAGTAGAAAAGACGAGAACTGTTAGGAATATTTATCTGATCAGGATACAGAATTCAACCTTGAGACAGAAGGAATACCTACTGGCTGAGCAATATTCAGATAGTTCGCATACCATGAAGTTTTCCCTATATGCTATTTCTTCATACCTGGTGCTGGGCTTTCAGAAGCACCTAACCAATATGAGACACTAGTTTCCGAAATGCCAATGCATGTTAAGTTCTCCTATCTCAAAAATTGTGGAAGTTTTACACTTAAAAAGAAAGTTAAAGACTTGTAAGTCATGTGAGGAAACCATTGCATAGGATCTATTAAGCTGGATCTTACTTCAAAGTTGGCCCTACTAAGAGCAAGGGTGCTGAAACAGTTGAACCACAAGAGTCTGAGCTATCTTGAAGTATTCTAGGATCAGTTTTCCAGAAGAAAAGTACACTATCAGAGAGAAATATTTCAAGTGGGAGGCAGGAAAGAATGAATACATTTATCAGCTCATTATTATTAGTTAATAAAACTACCTGGAACAGTCAGCTAAGTTTTTATTTAAAGGAGAGATTGATTGCCTTCTTCAATATAACAAGCCACAGCCTGTACTGACCCTGCAGCCAATCTTGATCCACAAATACTTCCCCAAATACCAGTACAAACCCTGCTAAGGGCTTGCAGCTTTTTCTGCAAAGGTCTCCTTCCATGCTGTAGTAATGAATAACCTTCACTTAAAGTGTGGAACAGTTCCTTGAATTTAAAAAAACAAAACCAAAAACCAAACTATACCAACACTACAACTACCACACAAAAAAAGAAAGAAAAAAAAAAACAACCCCAGAAATCAACTTTCAAATGCCAACGCCGTTATATTATAGGCCCAGCTGACTGACTGTAGACACAATAAATTTAAGAGGAAGCATGTGGCACACTTTTTTTTCTAGGCATAAGCCATTTTACAGAGCTGCATCAATATATGCTATATTATAAGGAAGGCATCACACAATTGATGTAAATTGGCTCTATTTCTTTGAATAGAGGTTTCTATTCACAGCATCATTTATAATATGAAAAAGATTTGGCTTCCCTCAGAATTCAGACAGGGTTTGAGGGGATGGCATTTCAAGAACAGAATTTGAGCACTTGAAATGAAGAGCTTGTTAAGACACAACACATTTGAACAATGCCTACTTTAACTAAATATTTCACAGGTCCATCCCCTCAGATTATAAATGCCCCTTACAAAACAAAATAAGTCAAGCCTACCTGTTTAAACAAAGCGTAGAGCTTCAACTTCGTTTCATTCCCAGGGTCCTTTTTCAAAAGCTTCAGTTGTTCTTGAGCCTTTTCAAAATCCTTCTGGCTGACTTGCATGGTGGCTGCAGTCATGTGCAGGTGAATTGCTGGAATGCAAACAGCTTGTGCTTGCCTGTTAACAATTGGAAGAAAAATCCCATTACTTGGTTTTGTGTAAGACTAGAGGAGAAACAAATATGCTGTTTTTTAAAGACATTTAAAGTAAATGTATTTGTACCTGCACTGATTAAAACAACAACCACAACCACCAAGATACTAAAAATTACAAGAAAGTTGCTTTAGAAGTTTGCTTTAGCTGCAACATAATTAACCTTTGGAGAACACGACGTTATCACTCTCTAGTATGTAAAGTGCTAGATTTTATCCTGACAGATGACAAAGAAACTATGCAGTAATATACCAGATAATCATATATAGACCACTAAATGGCAGTAGTGGTAAACTAATGTTTTGCTGTTTCAGGAATAAATCAGAACCCTACAGGTTCTGTCCAGGACAAACAAATAAGAAACATAAAACATTTTTATTAGTGGTTGAATTCTCTGTATGCAACATTAACAGCTTTATATGTCTAGGAATTAAAACAATTACACAGCCTGTCTAGTTTTGGTGATCTTTTCAAGTTTATGTGCTTCTAACTAGAAACACTTCAATCTGAAAGCCTGGTTCTCCAGTCAGGGCAGCATAAGCGAAGGCCAATTTCAAAATGTGCTTTAGGAAAGGGCTGGCTGTAAAACAGCCTGTAAATACTTGAGAGAAAAAAAAAAAAAAAAGAAAAAAAAGAAAAAAAAAAGAGGTGGTCAAAATATTCTTAGAGAAGAACTCTCCATCAGAAAAATAGGTAATTCCATCAAAAAGAACTTAAACCAAAACAAAACCCCAAACCCCACTCCAAAGAACCAAACCTAATCCAACCCTATAATGCTTTGTAAAAGCAAGTTTACGTGAACAGAGTTGGGAATCAAAAGCCAAGGAAGTCTAATAATCTTGATTTGTTTCAATAGGGCAAAAGCACGTTGTCTCAGTCTTCTTTGGTTAATTGCAATATATGTTAATTATTTTTGCCATTTTTAAAACTTAGCAGTTTATGTATCAACGTTCCTTCTCTATTTTAGCAAAAATAGAACATAAAATCCCCAACTTTCCCCATTCTAACTTCAACACAGTTGTCATGTTAGAACATCATGTAGGACAGATTTCATAACCAGTCACATTTGAAAAATCAATGATTATCTCAAATGCAGACTGACAGAATGTTTAATTATTAAACTGTCAACATTTCAGTTACAGAACCATCATTTAAAAATCATACCCAACATGAAAAATCTGCCTTTTTATACACACCTAATGAGAATTTTAGAGAAATTCTACTGCCCACTTCAAAAACATCCTCATTGCTCTTATTTCTTCAGTAAAAATTTATTTTCTGTTGCAAGTCCAAAAGTTGTAGGCAGGAAGTGGGAAGAATGCCAACTGTATCCAATTAATTTTACTACTCTTTCATTTCATGCAGATAGAAGGTTTTAGTTGTCTTGTAAAAATGTTTGTAATATCAATTGGGTTTATATCCTATTACAGCCCTTCTGTATTAATAAAATCTAAGTTCCTGATATTTTGGGGCTAGTGAGTTTGAATGACAGAAACAGAAAGAATATTTGCTGTTATATAAAGAAATTCTTTGAAAAAGAAAGAATTCCAGAATTTGCTTCAAAAATCTTATGCTAGTAAAAAAGGAATCTATCTGAACAATACAAAATTGAATAGGCTATCAAAAAAGGCTGCAGGAACAGAAAGTCTTCCTTAAATTGATCAGCTGTAGTTGATCTGAATCCAGAGAGACTTGGGTTAATCATCTGTCAATTTCACTAACATTCAAACTTATGTGTTCAGAAGACTGTGCCAGAGTTCAACAAGTTTATCCCTTAACCAGCTGGGAGGCTATTTCGCCAACCCGGTGACTTCACCTCCAGCATCAATAAAAGCCCTTTGACAGGAAAAAGTGTACCTAAATGGATACAGATACAAGTTTTTTAATACCGAGTTTCTTTGATTAGTCTGTTCTGGAGACACAGAACACAATATGTCCTTTCTGATCCTATCTCTAAACACGTTTCTAAAGTCACATTTACAGGAAGAAGAAAATGAGAGTGCAGGAAGGAGGCTAGTGGTTTATGTTGGCTTTGGGGTTTTTTTCCCTCCAATTTTGCCAGCCATCTTTAGAACTACTTAAACACTGATGATCCATGTACCTGGTAAAAATTTTGTCAGTCTAGGCAATGACTATATTGAAGTGGACTCGATGTTTAAAAAGGGAGATTTGGGTTTACAACCTGTTTGACAATCTGGACTTCACTACAGCTTGGCTATGGCCAATATTATAAATAGACTTTAAGAATCTCTTATATACAATTTGATAGTGACCATAACCTAACAAGAGTTGAGGATGGGGAGTTGGAGAGAGGGGAACAGCATAGCAGCCAGTCTGAAAGTATGTATGCACATATATTCAGGGTTCAGGGTTTTGGCACAAGTTCTCTTCCTTATTAAAGATGCAAAGTGGACAAGTTAGAGGAGGATGAGAACACAATTAGGCGAATAAAAAAAATATGGCTGGGGAAAAGGGGAATGATCTTTCAGTAAGTCCAGACTCAGAGCTACTTTTCTTTGCTGTTTGGTTATATCCAGTTTTAATTCTTAGCCACAAAAATGTTTGGCTAAAATACATTATCTATCCACTTCACATACTCTCAAATACTTTAATTCCTCTTACCCTCCTTACCTACTGCTTTGTAATAGGAGACTGTGCAACTTATCTGTCTATTGAAGTCTAAAGTTTGTAAGAAAACGCCTCTTTTCTTTAGTTCTTCCCTGCTGCTTGTAGCTCAGTTCTCTGCAGGATATCTACGACTTGCTCCTTTCTCTCTGCCTTCTGATCTCAGAGGACACTTACTATACATTAGTGATGATCACCAGTTCCCAACATGTTAAGGCTAAGCTGACTGCTACTACGTCTCTATTAAAATAACAAAGGATGAAAATACAAAGGAAAAATTAAGTTATTTCACAATTTATTCATCTTGAGCAGGACCTCATTCTTCAGACAGACACATGAATAGCAGGAACAGAGCTCCCTGACCCCAAGTAGATCATATAAGGGGTGAGGAGGAGATGACTCGCCACCTGTCAGCACAAGCAACAGCACTGCCATCTCTGGGACCACGTAGGTATGCCGTGCCACGATCCCAAAGACCGAGGAGCCGGAGAGGCTGCTGTCGCTCCTACAGGCGGGACTTGCTTTCTCCATCTGCTGCTCTCTGGCTGTGAACACCGAATCCTTCTTAATCTCTCACTGAGCAAATCCATGTCCCATTTTAGCGGCCTCACTGAAACCACACCAGACTTTGCCGAAACCAAACAAGGCAGGCAGGGAGCCTGGAACCTGACCTATAAACTACTGGTGTACGAACTTGCACTTGTTTCAATCTACACAGAAAAGGAAGCCAAGGAAAGGTAATCAAAACCTCCTCTGTGTTCCCCCTTCTCATCTACTTGCTGCAACAAAGCCAAATGATTTCCTTTGCAAAGCTTCCTCTTTATTGCCCTGTGCTTTGTGGGCAATTAGCTGCCACTGCCCCACTACTACGAATTACCTTTGTTGTACTGGCACCCATGGAAGAGTTGTGAGGGCCCGGTGACCTCCCCCAGGTGGGTAAAAAGCCAGCTCCCACCAGAGAGAGAGAGGCAAGAGGAGCCGCAACTTGGCAGAGCAGCCAGAGTCCACAACAAATGCCTGCACACTTCTGCAAGATCAGTCACTTGGTACTTCGCAAGCTGTACACTCTGAAAAAAAAATAAATCCCGGGCATCACTGCCTGCACCTGAAACACCCATGCTGACAATCACTTCATATTTATTCCCTGACCTCAGACATCTCTCTGTTGCCATTCAGTCATTCAGGATATCTTGCAAGCCAGCCACTCACCCTATTCACTCTACCTGTTCACCTAAATGCCTCTTATCCCGATAAACATTCAAACATAAAGCTCTTAATTAAGACTTTAAAAGTCAATTACACTGAAAGTAGTTTCTCACTGTTTAAATGATTAGCAAAGACTGCAAAACCTCTTAAAGATAGAGCGTCTCATTTCAGTGTAGTTCTGTCACTGCATAAGGACTTTATTATAGAGTTAAAAATGCCAAGTTTTTGTAAAATACTGACTGCTCAATTTTCAATTTTTAAAGCAACTTAGCACTTTCCTCATTAAGACTAAGCAGAAGCCAAAAGATCTCTTTGCACAGGAAACATCAACATGCTCAGCAAAAGAAAGGGACAGACAGATATACCTGAACTCCATCTTCCATTTACTTAATAAAGGTTTTCTTTTAAACGTTAGTAGATCCTGGGGAAATAAAGCACAAACAAAAGCAGTTATAAGTCCTATTAGGATTAAAAGCAGCGGGTGGTGCTAGAAACACGTGGGTTTGAAACTCCTGGCAGAAATGGAAAATGTTCATTTTGCATTATTGTCACTAGCTTTAGAGAGACAAGGAAGAAAAAGGAATAGGAAGTGTTATCAGACAGAAATAAGCAGTACATTAAGGTGTCACTCCGATGAATCCTGGAACATATGTTTAATAGAAGAAGTGTTTATCTTTTGCACATTATGTGCAAAACGACGTCTCTTCTTTGCCATGATCACTGTTTCAAGGTGCTGTGATCCTTTGCGCGGCTCTTTCCAGACATTCCTCATGCAGAACAGTGAGCAGCGTGGTAACTGCCCTTTGCTATTTCACACAGACCTGGTATTATGGCTTCACAAAGTGGCAATATTTCTGCTTATGTTCTTTCCATTTAAAGAGAAAATAAAAATATTGTTTTGCCTCTTTGCTTCTACTACAGTAAAGAGTTGTATGGGTTGTGGTTTGTTGGGTTTGGTTTTTTTTTTTTTTTTTTTTTTAAGTTAAGATACAAAGCAACCGATTCTCATAACCTCAAGGTGCCAAGTATTTTTTTATAACATAAACCAAGTTTCTAATTCTGTGCCTCTCCAGAGTCCCAGCAATGAGAAGAAAGCAGACGTTGCCCAGCCCAGCTCATCACCATTTCAGAGGCGCCAGCCAGAGCCTCAACTGTTCTACAACATTCAGGAATCCTAAACTTATCCCAAGCACTTCACTGGGTCTGCTCCGGCACCAGTAACCACTGCTTTGAAAGGCTGCTCCAAGTCAAGCAGTGGAGCAGCCAAATGCTACCTCCTCGCTCCCTGTCCTCCTGCTGTTGGGACACACACATCCACAGCAGAAGAACAACAAGCCCTCCCCGGTGGGGTGACCAGGGTAGTCCTTGCCTGCTGGTGCCTGGCCATGGAGTATTCCTGCTCCAAGCAGAGTCTCAAGCTTCAGTCCCCCTCTTTCAGTAGCAGTTCTCCCATTTTGATCCTCCCTCAAAATTACCTTGATTTTTCTTGACAGAGGAGAAAGAAAAGGATCTGGAGAAGGAATAGCAGCCTTTGATCATTAGTTCAGCTACATCAAGGGATGCAGGAACAGAGCTGGTGGGAAAGGTTGCCAGCGTTGACAACTGCAGCAACTGTTCGGAAATGAGGCATGTGAGGGGAACAGAAACCAGTATTTAAACCATAACCATGAGAAAATAAGCAAACCATCTGGAAAAAGAAATTCAACCCTTGACACTGATCCCAATACTTCACATCAGAATCTCTAAAAAGAAGATTAAAAAAGCAAAAGGAAAGGTTGATAACCAAATAATGACAATGAGCAAAGCATTAGCAGTACCGCTATTATATATAAGAAAATAAAGCAGGCTTTCAATAGTCATTGGAAGTATTCTCTGCATGCAAAAAAATTAAAGTTGAACTTCACTTTATTTTGCTGAGTGACAGGAGGCTACTGTCTATGCTATTAACAAAAATCATTAGAAATTTAATCTGCAGGTTGCCCAAATCACCATTCATCATGCCATTGGTTATATACTACTGAATTCAAACAGACATTTACCTACACAATAATGTAAGATTAAGGACTTATAAGTTTTCACATAGCCCAAGCACTTACATGGCAATATAAGAGTTTTTCCCATATAGCTGAAGATGGAGGGGGCTAATGTCAAATTTCTGCTGTACCGCTCAGTCCTCCAATTTATTCTCTCCATACAAGCTACCTAAAGCCAAGCTGGGAAAAGAATGGGCACCTGACAGTGCTAAAGCAAAGTGAGCAGCCTGTGGAATGCTTGGAGCAATCATTCCTCCTTTGCTGCTGGAGGAGAAAAGGAGTGGCGTGGATAGTTATTTAATACAGAAATTCTGGGTGAAGGCTCTTCTGGCTGTAGAAGCAAAAGAACTTTCTCTTTATGTCATTCTCTTACAGGCTTCTCCCACAAAACTTCAGATCATTTGATCTGACACTATTTCTTGTCATATACTCTTTTCAGGTTGTTTGTTATTTGGTGTTTTTTTGTTGTTGTTGTTTTTTACCCTGCAGAATTATTTTGTTTCTCATGAGTGTCTATCAAATGACTATGATGTCTGTTATGATATTCTGTCAGACTTTTAGGTGAAAAGCAGTATCCATGTAAGTTGTACACAGAGACTTTCTTACAAATAGGAGTTGTGTAGCAGGCAGTGACAGTGTCATACTAGAGAAACCTCAGCTTGACAGTTTTTACACTAATAAAGTCAAATTACTTCAGCTGTTAATTTCTAGTCCTGTCCTTTCAAGTTTCTTCTCTTACACTGAGAAATGTGGAGTAACCATGTTTGACACATGAACATCTTCCCTTGCGACTCCTGTTACACTGAAAAAGCCTGCATCTCTTTCCGCAACCATTCCATGAGAAAACTTCCACTTCCCCTCATTTGTATGCACCTCTTTCAAGATCTTCTGCCATTAGTTAAAACTAAAACAATTCAGAACATAGGCAGGTGAAATTCAGTCTTCATTCAGAAGATGGAGAAGCAGACACTACCTCTAACAAGTTTTGACTCTTCAAATTTCAGTAACTGGTATAGTTTTTAATATTTAGCAACTACAAAAGAATGAAACACAGTTAAATAATTGAGTTGCTCCTTCGAGTTAAACCCAATCCCCCACGCTTTTCATGACATCCACTTTTACACTTTACAATTAACACGTCAACTAACCTGCAGTAACTACTGCGCCCGAAGCAGTCGGTACTTTCCCCACAGAAGTTCACAGGCTCACTCTGTTAAGCCCTGCGCTGCTATCACCTGCTAACATGCACCATGGCAGTAGGTTAGTAGTAATCCAAGTCAGTAGGTCACAGCAGGTTAGCAGTAGGTTAACACCAGCATAGCAGCCAGAGTTGTTTTATTTCTTCGTGCAGCAAGAACTAATGCACAGGTCTGTTTGGTAAAGCAATGCTACTCTTCACCAGGCTCCTGCAAAGACCTATCGTAACAACGCATCACCTCTTAGATGACAACAAAACCAAAAAAACCCACAGTAGTGTAAGGAAGTCTTATCAGCACCAAAGTTATTCTCTAGAAATCAATGCATTTGGTTCACTTGGGGAAATACAAAGTTTTATTAATCACGGTGATAACACGGAAGTGTCAATGACTCAGTAGACAGAACTCTAGTTTTCCTAAAAAACATAAGGAAATAACTAGCCCTCCCTGTCCTACCAGCACAGTCCCTGGCAGTACCCCATTATACTGTAGCTAGCGTGCAGTAATCAAAACCTACTGCTATCAGGTAATAGGAATGTTTCTAGTGTTCTGGTATTTCCAATATATCTAGCTATAAGATGAAAAGATGAGTTACAGAATATCTGCACTCATTTAACTTACTGCTGCTTTAATAAACAGAAAGAAATGAAAGTCAAATTATTTCTTCCTTTTCTTCAACTATTTCAATAGTTGTTCTAAACACAAGTTTGGTGTACAAATCCTTATCAGCTTTTCCTATTTTACATGCCTACACTGTTTTGACATATAAAACTAGAAAATAATGATGTGTCTGTTGGCAAATTGAAGTGCTGAATCACTGTTGTTTAGTTTAAGTGGCTCAGCTGTGCTTGGATAGTTGGGTGGGTTTTTTTTTTTTTTCAATATTAAAGAATAGCGAAGAATCAAAGATCTAGATTACCATTCACTGAGATCAGATGTGGTCTGCTGTTTGTGCTCTATACAGCCACAGTTGATATTCTCTCATCACAGCTGCTGGGAGGGAAACCGGGATCGTCTCCTGAAATCTCTGCAAGAGCTCTCTCTTTCCAGTAGACTTAAGTTAACTGGAAACGCTGAGTGACTAAAGCGTGAGAGAAATTCCTGTACATCCTCAGTCCATGTAAAACATCTCTGCAAGCAGGAAGATTTATAGACAGATATTCTCTGAAACACATTCAAAAGTTATAAACATGAATCTTACCAGAAAAACATAGAGCTCTGATACTCATACATGTGACATTTGCTGAGAATCATTAAAAGTTCATTGTAGTATTTGGAGAGCAAGAAACTCAAATAGGTTCTTTATACATCTTTATCTGAGGTGACTTTAACGAAACAGTTATAAGCAAATACTCAAAATAATTTTGCTGCTAATGGAGAAAGAAAAAAGCCATTTTTATTTGGCTTCTGGGGACAAATCCTGCTGACTGTATGGAGAGCAAGAAAGCATACACTTTGTTATGTTAATGGCTTTTGGCCAATGTAGGTAGGTTTCTGACAAGGGTACAATCAGCTGCTGGAGTTCCCACCTGCATTACAAAACCCACTGACACTCCTGCTAGTTCAGCTGAACCAGCGGAAGACGACAGTTTGCCTGAAATTTACTTTCTCTCCTGAATCCATGACACCTAGATACAATGGGGATGGACACAAAGAATACAGAACAAGCTATGTGACAACACTGAAGAAGTATCTGTCAATGGCTTACCCTGTCCAGAATTCTTTCAGATATTTCAGAATTAACCAAATCGGGTCTAAACACAAAGTAGCACACTGCTTTTGGTTTTGGCACTACTTCTAGCACTGACAACCAGACAAACTTACAGACGTTCTGTAAAGACCTGGGCCAATTTACTCCATAAAAAAATCTGATGGTGTCTTGGGCTTAGAGCTAAAGTTCTTGCATACATACAAGGCTTGCAAATACATTTCTGTCACAGCAGAATTTACAGCTGCTCTATGAATAAAAAAGTTTATAAGTTTAAAACTTATTAGAAAGTTTTTTCAATTTCCAAGTGATAACTTTCTCTTTAGACACCCTCTGTAATATACCTCGCTCTTAGTTTTATCAGAGAAACAGATAAGCTCACAGATTTGACACATGATTAAGACTTGTGTACGAAATAAAGCACTGAGAACATCTGCCACTCAGAAATGGAAATTACACATATTCCGAGGGACTTCAAGTC